GAGGGGGAGGGGAATAGAACGAAGGGGGAAGATGGTGTAGAGGGAAGAGAGGGGAAGGGTGTGAAGGGGCGGGATAGGGTAGCCAGTAAGAAGAGACGCAGAGCGTGGAAAGCTAGCGTGAGAGCTGAATAAGTGCAGCGCGAGAAGCTGAGAGTGAAAGTGACGGATGAGAGAACGAGGACTTGTGGTGAATGTGTTATCAGGTGGGTACAGTGGAGTAGGTCCCTCAGCAGGGGTAAGTGCACCTTCTTCTTGTTGTTGTTTTAGATTCAGCTACTCGGAACAAAAAGTTCCGAGTAGCACGGGCTATGGTGAGCCCGTAAGTGGATTTTTTTTTTTTTAGATTTAGCTATTCAGAACGAAATGTCCAAGTAACACGGGCTATAGTGAGCCCGTAAACGCCGTAAGTGCAGGATTTGTGGACCTTTACCAGTGGTGGTAACTGATAGAGGTGAGGTTAATGTAGGGGGGGAGGGGGTTAGTGATGGGGAGGGATAGGTGTAGGGAAAGCTGGTCAGGCAGGGTGAGAGGGGACACAGCACCCGCCACGCCGCCCACCTTCCCCGGGGGGTGAAAGGTTACCTCGAGCATCACGTATTCTCCCGCAGTCGCTTGTCCTAACATTTGTTTAAATAAACACCATATAACAATACAAAATGTGTTTTCACTGGAGACATGTTGCGACATGCACATGATGTTGTCAGTATCCTCCAGGGGCGAGATTCACGAAAGCACTTACGAACCTGTACATCTTTTCTCAATCTTTGGCGGCTTTGTTTCCAATTATTAAACAGTTAATGAGCTCCGAAGCACCAGGAGGCTGTTTATAACAATAACAACAGTTGACTGGGAAGTTTTCATGCTTGTTTAATAAATGTAACCAAAGCCGTCAAAGATTGAGGAATGATGTACACGTTCGTAAGTGCTTTCGTGAATCTGGCTCCAGCCCAGCCTCCTGCTTACAGTAGCGCGGTGGTCGCTCGTACAAATATAGATGTGATTAACCAATTGAAACTAGGCTTTTGTATTATTGAATTTAGACAAACCGGAAACGTTTTCTATTTATAGAAACCTAACCATCCTCGGCCTAGTACACGCTGATGCTTTATATTGCACATATATGTGCTATACTAGGCCTTCCAGTATTTAACTTTTCGGTTTAGGTTTACTTGTCGGACTATAATTGTACCAAATTCTACTTTTTATTTGTCCACCACGGCGATATTTGTTGGGTCGTCCACATGGTTACAAAAAGTAGTCTTATCAGCAGGATGGGTTGGCATTATCCTACACCTTGGAACAACTCCAAGGTAACACACCAGAGTCACTGCTTCACTTGTAGCCAAGGGACCCGAGAGCGCTCTCACACTCACTCTCACTCATTAGGAGGAGTTCCCGGCCGTGCCTGGGATAATCCCCTTCCCCCCTAGAAAAATTCACGGGAATCACACCATATATTTCACACAATAAAAATCGGCTGGGAGTGTCTTAATTGCTAATATTTCTTAATTTAACTTAGACCTACCCCGACCCATTTCATTCCCCCTACACATTTAGGTGTGGCTAGCCCAAGGCGTCTGGCTGCTAACTTTGGATAGATAGACACACAAGCAGACATTGTCTTGAAGGTATAGGATTTGAACGTGTGCGACTGGGCAGCGCAGGCTGGCGGAGGGCCGTGCTCCCTCCCACCCGTGGACACTGGTGAAAGGAACACCAGTATTTATACACAAGACATTCACTTTCGATGAATGAATCTCCTCCCACAGCCAGAAGCTCTGCGTGCCTGTGATTTACTAGTGTGGGAAGTGGTCACTGTAGAGAGAAGAATTTCCTGGTACCACGACCTACTCCTTTGATATTGTATCACCCATGTTGAGAGGAAATTGCATTGTGTAGCGCAACCCATCACCTTGCGCAAGAATTAGGAGTAAAATGGAGGCATTAGGGAAGTGGAGCCGTCCCTGGGGAACTTGTCACCGAGCTCTCGCCACGCCTCTCTCCCCCTCGCTGGCTCCACTTTCACTCCCACGTGAAATAGCAAAGTCTTTTATGTAATTTAACTTTTCATGAGAATTGTGCAAGTTCATATTACGTGATAAACTATTTTCATGCCTTCATTTCATTGGTTGTTTTATGCTTCTCGGGTCCTCCGTCCGTAATGTTAGGATATATTACCCGCAGCTCCATTGCATTTCGACGAACTGATATCTGGCTTAGACTACCATCCTGTCAGGAGACCAGAGTTGGAAATTACAATAGTGTGGGGCCCTGTGAAGGTGCTGCTCGGACTGACGTATAATCAAATCACACTTTGACCGCAGTTGATGGTGAATTACCAGACAACGTCTTGCAGCAACGTTGACGGTGGCTGTGATGGGGGAAGCAAACACGTCTAAACGCTTTATGACTGTTAACTAGCGGCAAACACTCAGGCCTAGTGCACAGTGCATAAGTAGATTATAATCAGTATTTTAGACTATCAACTGTACAGTCTACACGCTTCCTAGGTTATGTGGCCTCGTACGTTCAGCTAGATAATCAGATGCTTTTATGGAGGAGGAATTTGTTAGTTTATTTAACCTTAAGGGAATCCCTGGCCCTGTTTTGATGTTTGTTTACCCACGCTTGTGAGTTCACGTCCGTTATGGGTACTGTGTTGTCTTGGTGTCCTCGCTCTGGGAACCCCACAACACCTCATTACTCTTCTCATCTCAGTGTTCTTGACCTGACACTTCACAACAGCAACACTTAAGAGTACATTAGTTAACTAATCGGGTGTGGTTCTTAGACCTATATAATTTATAATATTAAATCTGATAGTTATCTTCTAAACTCTGAAGGCAGGGGTGGGTTTCTTAAACTGACAACATACTCGTTTATACTGTTCGTTTGTTGAAGAATAAAACCAAGTTTTCTAGTTTTTTTTTAATGGGAACCAATGCAACAATGAAATAAAAATTTTGGGAAGTGATTGTTGATAAGTTTGGCAACTGCGACGCTCGATATTTATTTTTGTGAAATTAACTGTAACTGGCGTCCCCTCGGGAAAGTAACGGTGTAACAATCAGTCGACGTTGATTAAGCTTTACTCGAGCATGTTTTGTTGGCCAGACCACACTAGAAGGTGAAGGGACGACGACGTTTCGGTCCGTCCTGGACCATTCTCAACCACACACTAGAAGGTGTGGTTTGGTCAACATACTTCAGCCACGTTATTGTGACTCATCGCCTGCACTCAGCATGGTTTGCTTGCTAGGAGACCACGTAGCCGCTGGTACTGCGCGTGATATTGTGTTAATAATCTCTCATCTAAAAATGGTAGTACCTATAGTTACTGTGGATGGAAGTACAACATATAGACTATTACACCTAAAAAAAAAAAAACGTTATTTTCTATTGTGTAGCGCCCAAGAAAGAGAGCAAAACCCAAAAATTACATTCCCTAGGACTAGGGTGGAACACGAACAAGGGAACAGACTTGTAAACTTAGTACTCGGATGAACTACAGACATTATAAATACATTGTTGAGTGTCAGGGTAGTTAACAATTGGAATACATTAGGCAGTGATGTGATGGAGGCAAGATTCCATACACAGTTTTAAATGTAGATACGATAGAGCCCAATAGGCTCAGGAACCTGTACACCAGTTGAGAGGCGGGACCAAACAGGCGAAGCTCTAACTAGGTGAGTACACACAGGAAGACTAGAACTGGAAAATAGTAAAAATCGAGAACATATTAGAGTACAACAGTTAATTTTTGTATGTTCAATCAATAGTTGGTATAAGTTTGGGTGTGTGGGGGATTAGGGCGGGCGTGTGGGCTTTTCTCCCTCTACTTCAGGGCCGGTGATGGTGGCCAGTATCCTGATGGCCTTCACTACAGGATATTCTAAAGTGTGCAAGCGAGCACTAGCAAGTGTCTTGCAGTTGTTTTCTCTGCAGTTTCAACTAATATTTTGCTAAAACAATAGCCATTCATAGTGGAGATAAAGGATGTGTTTGGGTGGGTTGACGGAAGTGACAATGTTAATAGCTTCCAAAATAATTTGGCATAACAAGTGAGGAGGGTTGTGTTAAAGGGGCGGCGTTGGTGCGTGTTGGGCCACGGAAAACATTAATATCCGTGATAGTCAGCGTTAAATGGTTATAGCAGCCAGGGAGATGGGAGTCACGTAGCTATAATGACAGTGCACACTTTTTTTTTACATATGTACGAATATTTTAGACTGTTTGAATGTGACAGAACATTTTTATGATGCACGTCTTGATTGCTTGCTCTTGTCTCTCAGGATCCATATATTATACAGTTCTGTTCCTTCACTCTGTACTCGTATCCTCTCAACCCTATACATGTTTGGTCATACTGGCTTGTCCCTTTATCATGATACTCTCCATATCAACGCCCATATATAATTTCTGAATATATATTGTAAACTAGGCCTGTTTTTTTTTAATTTTAGCTATTTTATCCATTTACCCACAGTTCAATGATTAATGTTAAGCTGTTTGGCATATAGCCGAGCTAGAATTGCCCTAATATCGCTTATTTTGTGTGTTTAATTCCAGTGTCATATTATTTTTAGCATTCTTAAAATATTTCAATGTCCTATCAAGGCAATGTGTTGTGTCGAGGTGTGCGCGGTGCCTATTATTGGATGTGAACAAGTGCCAGCTGGGCTGACAACTGACATTAGTGAGCGTGCCAAGTGGCATCGAATAAATTCAGTGTACGGTTGTCAAGTCTAAACGAAATCACTAGTGTTCATCCTTGCTGAATATTAACTACAAATGATACTCTCACATTTACATTTGTACTAGCTAATATACAATATAGCCTAATGCACAGGTTATGATCAGATGGCTGCCGAAATTAAACAATGAAAATTTATTCTACGTAACATATTAAGTGCCTCTATCAGCATATAGAATGTTTTGTCTAGTTATCTAGTAAAATGGAAATTATACAATAACCAATTTTTGTATTCCGTTTCTAGGTCGGCTCTGCAAACTTTGCACAAGTCTAGTTCTAGAGCTCATGATTCCCACTACTTCCTGGGCGGCGTCAACCATGACTGGGTGGGGTACTATGAGCGTGGTCTGGGCTCTGACCAGTCCTGCATCAATGAGTGGAATGTCATGGACAGCCTTGAATCCAAGCGACCCTCTTCGCCAGATTCTCTTAATGACAAGTAAGCTTCTCACCTCCACTATAACATATCATTTGTAATGGTTAAACCCCTGTGCTTTTTTTTACATTAATTATTCTAATATTTGAGATTATCGAAGCACAATATCATTTTGTATATCACTAGATTCACTTGTGAGCTTGTGTATCACTAAATGGAGTACCCGGCAGTGCCCAGGTCTCCACCTGTTTCTTATAGAAGTTGCAATATGTGCACCCACCAAACACACAACATAAACAAGTTATTTTTACTTTGTAACCACAACCATGTTACATCAATGTGTGTGATGACCAGCTGAAAATGTAAAAAAAAAACTATATGGAAAACAAACCCCCATTTATACTGAAGGTTGTTGGTTTTCACAATAGAAGGCAATCCTACATAAAAGGGCAATGGGGTCAGCCCCAACCCCACTATAACTCCCCATACAATCACACATTATCATGGAAAGTTGCACGAGGCCAACTGCAAGTGTCTGGCCTCCAACCTCAGACAGATATTTCATTTTACAATTAGATTGTTTATAAGAGTTCTGAAATCAAAATTATAATTCCAATTTTGTTTATACACAAATGTATTTATATGAAATTAAACTCTAAAATTAATTTTCTGGTGATTTAGTAAAAGTGTACAGTATTGTGAATTTATTTATTTTACTTCTTTTCCCAGGGAAGAAACACAGCTTCGTATTCGCAGTAAATTGAAAGAAATCATGATGAGTGTTGATATAGATGAAGTCACCTCTAAATACATACGTCAAAGGCTTGAAGAGGACTTAGCAATGAATCTTTTCAAATTTAAATCCTATATTGATCAAGAGATGCTAGTTATCTTAGGACAAATGGATGCTGCAACAGAGATCTTCCCTCATGTTTACCTAGGATCAGAGTGGAATGCTTCTAATCTAGAAGAGTTACAAAATAATGGGTAGGTATATTGTACAATTAATAATACATGCAGGAATATACTGTATACTGTATAAACAATATACATATAGACTAACTTCTTACATATACAGTAAAATATGTATTTGTTATAATTTGACTGTGATTGTATAGCACATTTGGGATGCAGTTTGAAGCTGGCAGTGTATAAAAACTCTCTTTGCTACATAAACTTTGCTACTTTGTACTCTTCTTAAATACAGTACTCAGTACTGTATATAATTTTTAAACATTTTTCTTAATAGCTTTTTTTCTTATCAGGGTGGGTTACATCCTCAATGTAACCAAGGAGATAGACAACTTTTACCCTGGAACATTTGACTACCTCAACATTCGTGTGTATGATGATGAGAAGACGGAGCTCCTCAAGCACTGGAACAGTACCTTCAAATATATTTCAGAAGTCAAGTGAGTATCAAAGATTGTAAATTTTATTATTACAGTATTTATGGCTTGTATACTGTTTGTATAAAATTGTACAAGTTGAATAAGGCCAGTTAGTCACTGATTTCTGATTTTTATTAAATATTACTTAGTACTTAGGGCAATGGTCTTGGTGTGTACAAAAGTCAAGGATGGCATGGTAGCTGCCCACTTACACACCTGGGCCAGGTGTGTAAGTAAGTCTTTTAGTTTAAAAAACCCGAGTGTTAAAAAGAATTAGTTAATACGGGCCAACTTAGTTACTTATGATTAAATTTAAACACATTTTGATTAGATATATAAAAACCCAGCTCGGGTGGGTTGGGTTTTAAGAAAAAACTTTTTTTAACCAACCCTGGCAGAAAATGCAGTTAATGACGTATTTTGGTTAATATCTCATGAAGAAACTTGACTGTGATGTCATTTTATATATTTACTTTAGTGTCTGTTCATGCCATAGTTTTTTCAAAATTAAATAGATAATTGTTTCCACTTGGAACACACATACATAACTTGCTAAAGTAACTTAGAACTGGCAACCTTACTTTAGTGCTTTAAAATAGTAATGATGAAACTTTCATATATGGGTAAATTTCTGTAATAACATATTGGTATTTTTTTATGTACAGAAATAAAAAATCCAAGGTTTTAGTGCACTGTAAGATGGGAATCAGCCGGTCGGCATCAGTAGTGATTGCTTATGCCATGAAGGCCTTCAATATGAGTCTAGAAGAAGCTCTTGCTCTTGTAAAGAAGAAGAGGACTTGCATCAAACCAAATCAAGCATTTTGCAGCCAACTTAAAACTTATGAGGTTAGTTTTGTTGTATTAATATGTGATCCAATATTGTCATAAACAGTATTTTAAGCAAATGTGTTTGCCAATCTGAAATGAGGGTCATGTATGACTATCATACCCTGGCCATGTATGGCCATCATACCCTGGCCATGTATGGCCAGTCATGTATGAAGTACACTTGAAAAGTTTATGAAGTGCAAAGAAAGTCTTGAATGAATGTGTTTTGTAGCTACCAAGTGGACAGATGTTGATACCCTTTGATATATTTTTTTGTGCATTGTACGTAATTGAGGTTCTCAATTATTATAGTTGAATTTGAGCATGGGGCCCAGCACTAGGCTACAGGGCCAAATTCAATAATTTACTACAAGGTATACATGTTTGCAAGGTGTGTCTACTATACCTTGTAGTTGTGCGAAGTATAAGTAGGTAAAACATCTCAAAACCTAGATGCAGGGATATACTGTATAAATAAGAGCATGGCTGCCAAGTCAATAACACCAACAATGTTTGCCACCCTAGGAACCAGGAGTAACATCTCGTGAATTCCAGATATGCCAGATTAAGTTTCACTGGATAATTTGCTGTTTAAACTGTCAGCATTTGTTTACAGTTACAGTATCTTGTAAAATATCTAAAAGAAGCCATACAGTATAGGGAAAATATTTATGAATTAAAAAATATATACCAAGACAAGTCCACTTCCTGATCTTCTGCACTAGTGCACTAAAATTGGTGTTACAAAAAAAGTGAAGGATCTAGAAGTGAATATTTCTGTAACTGTGTTCCTTTTTGCTCTTCTTTTCCTTCTCCAGAGTCTGACTGATGTACATTGCTGGGGTTCAATTCTTAGTAGTCATTTCTCGGCTTTATTTTGAAAGTTGTCCAAGTTCTCTGGCAACCCAACTGTCAAAAGTTATTGTACCTATATAGCTACAATGGAATGCACAAAATATAGTCTGTTGCACAAAATTAAATGTTGTATACTGTTGGAATTTTAAAGGACAAAAAAAAAATGAATCAGAATAACTATAAACCTATCCTAACAAGTACTAGGCTTAAATAAGTAATCCTAGGCTAACATGTGCAATATTAGGCATAAGCACATGTACTAGCTGTACAAGAGTATATTGTACTACCATCCATAATGATAGGCAATCATTTTTGGATGAGTCTTCCTGACTTGGCTCCTTCTTTTGATTATCACTGCCATCCAAAAGTAATTTTGTGATGAATAATTTTTATTAGGTAATGCTAGTGGATGAAAGTTTTACACATACCCACATAATAAAAAGTTCATTTATTTTTTCAGGGGATTCTTGATGCTAGCAGACAGCGACACAATATTTTGTGGCGGAGTAAGTCTGAAACAAACCTCAAGTCAGCTTCAGCACAGGCTAACAAACCAAATGTCAGATATCACAATAACAGTCTAAATGATGATGTTGATCATGGTAACAACATTGAAAATAGACGAAAAAGTACAGAACGGATGACATTTGAATCTACATCCAATTCTCTGAGCATTTGTGTTCCTACACCTTGTAATTTGCCTAATAATGACCAGAATAGACGACCAAAATCATGGTCGCCTGATGACCACACTGCTGGCCTGTTATTTCCACAAAATATGGAAGAAGGTAAGATGATTGTTTTGAATATTTAAAGTGTTATTTTTTCATATTAAATATAAGATGTACTGCATATTGAAGAGTTTTATTTTTAAACCGTTATAAAAATTATAAAATAATATACATAAGATTAAGTCTATTAGTTTACAAGAATCTCAATACATTTTAGCATCTTAAATTTCAGGTGGAAATGATTTAGGAGATTCATGGCGGCTCTCCCAATCACTCAATGTACAGTCATGGCGAGCCCATGTAACATTGCAACAAAGGGATCTTCGGGATATGAGTGTTGAAGGTTCAACAAAAGACCAAAGTGAAGTATCTTTATCTGTAGTAGAAGCACTCAATCCATTGTTCACCGACAGCCCTACTGGAAGTACCATTAATGAAGTTTCTGCACTACAATTATCTTCTTCAGTTAAAGATAGGATTAATGAATTTGAAAATGTACAAAGTTGTAATCAAATTGGTAAAAAAACACAAAATGTAAAAAAAGGCGATACAATACAGATACAGAATACAATCACATCTAGTGATGATTTCAGTAACCATTCAAGCACTGCTGAGTTAGATAAAGTCATTGAAACTTTACTTGCACCAGGTGAAGACTTACAGGGTAGTGAACCAGTTGTTTCCCAGACTAAGCCAGCTGCTCAGAAACTTCAGGCTGTGTTAGTTCCATCCCAGATATGGCAAGAGGAAAAGAGTGAAGTGGAGGAGAGTATGGATACAACAGAGAGTCCTGTAGGTGTGCCTAAAGAATCAATTACATGGCCTGCAGGCATTGTGAAGAGACAAAAACAAGATTTTGAGGAAAAGGTAAAAATGAATGATACTAAATCTGGTCCAGATAAAGAGGGCGACTTGCCACTATCAAGACAAAGTTCATCTGGTTCCTTGAGTGGTCAGTTGCAAAAAGTGGAAATAGTCAGATCACCAAGTTATGGACGTCAAGACTCTGTAGGTTCAGACACTGTTAAGAGAGATGACCCCTTCTCTGTAAAACTTGATAAGGTGTTTGACAGAGAGGAAAGAAAGCAGCAAAGATTAAGTGCCATTATCCCTTATGGAGTTGATATAAAAGACACTCCATCACGCAATAGTTCATGGGGATCATTTGATAGTGCTGTGGTTCTAGCAGATAGAGATACACCTTCTAGACAAAGCTCTTGGGGATCCTGTGATACAAGAGGAACAGTAGGTACTATACCTTCCAGGAATAGTTCCTTTGGACCATTTGATATAAAGCAACAGCCTCTTAGAGAAAATTTAGAAATATTAGTACCAAATAGTAGTTTAACAGGAACTTACTTTGAGAAAGATCCAGGGCCATTCTCACCAGGAACTATCAGAAGAAACAAAGGCAGAAGTTCTGATATGAAAGATGGATTAGTTGGCGATAAAATAATATCAAATGAAATGGAATATTTAGAAGACGGTGCAATTGAAGATGCCTCTCATTGCAGGCCTGTAACAAATTTAAAGGCATATGGACCAGCTCCTTATAAAAGTCCAACTGAAAGGGTTGCTCCTATGGAATTGACTGATGAAGGCATGGAGGAAAATTCAGAGAGTTTCTTAGACCACCACCAGAGCACACCTACATTAAATATTTGCATTCCAGATAGTACAAATCCCTTAGCCCTAACCAGATCACAGCCTAATATATCATGCACAACTATATCTCTGACACAGGGAATAATTCCGCTATCTTCTAATATAGAGTTACCTAAAAATGATGTCTTAAATATTAATGAAAGATGTTCTCTAACTGAAGAGATTCCAGTGCCTGGAACTGTGAAACAACACACAGAACTTCTAGAAAGTAAAAGTCAAGAAGGAACTCCTGCAGAATTAAGAAAGACCCAAGAGAAGCTTCTTTCGCCATCCTATACTCGCTCCCAAAGCTATTGTGACCTAAAATTGGAAAAAACAGAAGTCAATCTACCCAATAACCTTGGTCGTAGTTTTTCAGAAAAAAGAGCGAAATTTGAGGGACAGGTTGAAGGTGAAACTGAAGGGGGTAAGGTTAAGAAAATTACTAAAGCCTTGGAACAGAAGGAAGATGACAAAATAAAACAATTTAGAATGAAAGGCATTAGAAAGAGATCTCACAGTTTAGAACGCCTGAGTACATCACCTACTTCACCAGGTTGCTCTTCAAGGCAGTTGTTAGAACAATTATTAGTTCAAACAGAAGCAGATGTAAGGGACCTTGAAAAAGTTAATTCTGAAGAAATTTGTGTTAAAAGTCTTGTAGTCAAATTTGAAGATCCTCAAGAACAGAGGCTGCCTAAAGTTCAAACAAGAAGTGTAAGAGCAAATTCTGACAGTTCCACACCAGACAAGTTCCTACCACCTGTACCTCAACGTAAATCCAGTTTAGACTATAATTTTAAGCCAACTCTCCGAGCACAGTCCCAACCTCCACAGACTCCAGCGAGACAAATGACTCCAGGAGGCAGTTTATCCCCTACAGTGATGCCACCTCATAAACCTCCACCAGGAGGAAGAGGCCAAGCATGTGGAACAGAAGTACGGCAAAAGAAACAGCAAGGCAAGACTCACCCTCTAACTAAATTAACGAGGACAAATAGGGAGAATTATCATACTATGTAAAGTGATATTAATTTTACCACTACTACATTGAGGATGCTGATATTTAGGCTTCCATCTTTGAAAACCACCTTGTGATATGTAGATTAAGGATAACCTTTGCCACTTTCAGATGAGGTACAGATGCCCAGCTGCAGGATGTGCAGATATAATGTTGAATCTCATATAAAGAGATAACTGTCAGTGGCTATCAACTTCCAGATCACTAACTCCTGTGCCTCTAAGTAGAACACATCTGCTGGTTCATGGGAGAAGACATTTCGATTTAAATATACTGTAAAATCTCCCATCAGTTTAAATTAAATGTTTCACTTACCCATGAACTGCGGAGTAGCTATGTGGTTCTTCCTGGTATCTTGTATACACATTGCTAGTCGTGAGAGTAGGACCATAATTCAGGATAAAGTGTGTGCTGTATGGATATGACGTAGGCAGAAATTCTGAAGCCTCACCTCTTAATACGACAATGACTACATTTATGTGGCAGTTGCTTAATATAAATAGCTTTGAATTTTGTTGCACATTTTAAATTTGATTGTCCTTAAATTTATGGAAATATAATTGTTAATCATGCCAATATATTGAGGCACTACACTAAGATCTTTTTGGCATTTGCATAGCCATTCTGTGTTGCTTCAGAATTCAGATACTGTAGTAATAATTACATCCTACGTTTTTCTTCCATGTTGTGGAGATTCATTTCTGATGTGCAACTTCTTAGTAGTAAACAACTTGTGATTTCCACTAAGGTGTGCTAGTCCCCACTGCTATATCTATTTTCTAGTCTATCTGAACACTTGTAATCCCTTTCTACTAAATGTTAAAAATATTTGGAGTCTGTCATTTTCCATGACAACTCAAGTGTGTGGCATCTATTTTCAAAATTTGTCATTCATCACTGTATTTACCTCGTATTGCATTGTGTGAAAAATATACCTGTGCTTGTTGGCCACCGGGTAATAGTATATGGTGTTTGAATATTTTTTTTTTTTTTTTTTTTTTTTTTTTTATTGAATATGATTTCATAGACAGGTCCCTTCAGTATCTAGTGTCATAGATATGTGATTGTGATGTCCCAGCTTATTCAAGGTGTGTTAAGAATTTGACAGATTGACATTTTATAGCAAATGTTGTAATTTTCTATTTGTATAAAAACATACTGTAGCAAATTATAAAGCACAATGTTCAATCGTCTCTCTTTCAACTAATTTGTAGCTGGTGTCAGTAGACATTCCTCCTTTTTGCTCAATTATGATGACTTGCATTGATTGTGTCATCCTTATGTCTTATTGTTATGTTTGTGAATGTATACTAGACCAGTTAATGTTTTTGTTATTACAACAACTGAATTTTACAATACCTAAAATTATGCCTAGACCAATCACTTATCACCCATTATTTTCTCATTGTGAGTTCATGTTAAATCACAAGGCTAAATGAAACTGAAGTTGTAAATACTGTATGTGATTGTGTGCTTTGTATTGTAACGAATGTATTGAGTATGTGATGATATAGTTTGTATTGTGAAGGATGTATGAGACAAGATGTGACCCAGGCCAGCTGTTCCCAGTGTTGCCATTGTTACAGCAAGCTGTACACTAATATTTGTGTCATCCAGGGTTAGGTTGAACAGGTTCTTGATTTTCTAGGACACTAAACAGCTGTTGTGGTATTTGCACTAGTAATTTAGCATTTTATGTACAGTATTGAAAGAAATTTAAAATTTCAAAATAATTTAAAGCAATGTCAGCCAGGAAATAAGGGTGTCCATTTTTTTTTATGGTTGCTGCACAAGTCTACAAGACAGTAGTTTTCCAAAGGGCATTCACACCCTTTCAAAAACTAATTTTTTTTACTTTTTGAAATGTATGAATTTAGTAAAATTTGATGATTTGGTGAGTTTCTCTGACATTGCAATATGTTACTAGTACTGTATAGTGAATTTGGTTTGCTGCAAGTCAGTAACTTGGGTTAACCTTACATTTGAAGACGGCAATTATGTAAATAATGCACAATTTTAATGTGGGTTAGTTCAGAAAAATGCAGACTTTGCTATCTAAATTTTTCAAGACTATCAGCCAAAATAGCTGACTTGTGTTGAAATCAACTGTCCTAGATAATCAGCACTCTAGGCTCTCCTGTTCTGAATGAAGGTGGTTGTGTGTACCCTCTTCACTGTCATTTACTTGCAGCCTTTATAGCGACTGTAAATATTCTCCAGTTGTAACTTCCTCCTTGTCATAATGATATTGGTGATTTACAATGTAATTTATGTATAACAGTGGTGTGCTATATTTTGTATATAATTTGTACAAGAATCTAATTTATGATAATAAAATAAACTTTAAACTGTTTTCTTTCATTTTCTTTTACCTTTTGAGTTAAATTAAGGGATAATTAAGTTATATAAAAGAATATATTGCATAGGCTGAACATAATATAAATGTAGGGATTGAATCAAGTCGACAAAAATTGACTTGTAATGCAGTGCTAACACCTCAAACCAAAGCTTCCCAGAAATATGTAGATTGGTATTGAAATCAAAGTTTGGAAAATAGTCATGTATTTATTTAGGACATTAGGAACCAACAGCTCATTTTTCTTATATAATTTGTAATTTAAGAACAACTGGTGTTAAGAGTACTGAACATGGCACGAGTGACATATCAATACATTCCTAGAGTTACACCAACATTAGAGGTTAGGAATTGTCTTTACAACCAAGACAGTAAGCTCAAATACCAAGTTTCTTGGCAAGCTACGTATCAAAGCCATAATTTAAGCATTGGCAATGAAATTACAGTTGAAACCCTACTTTGACACCATGCAATAAAAACAACCTTGCTTATTCAACATTAGATGTCACGTGACAATGGATGTGTGCTTATAAGCCAATACCTAGTGTGCATTAACATTATTGCCTAACATTTGTGTGATTAAATGTTGCCTATAGTAATAAATCTTGTTTGGGATAACTGGTATGCTCTTATTTCACTTCAGAAACAGGTCCAACATCTATCATAACAGGAATATTTAAAGTAACTGTCCTCGACTCACTAGCTGTGGCAACAGTGTTTGTGTAATCATAACGTAGTACAAAACCCACCTTAGCTTGTGCAACACCAGGTTTTGGAGTTACTAGTAGATTAACACCAACTTTATTTGCTCGACGCCATGCCACCACACTGAAGAAGAAAAAAGTATTTAAAGTGACTATTGTATGTACAAGATTTTTAAAACATCTGTAGTGGTTTCAAAGTATAACCAATTCAAATCACACTAAAATTACTTTCTATTTCACCTCATAATAAATTACTGTATTTAAATTTACAATTATTTGAATTATTCATTAAAAACCTAAATGTCTTCTCCTTATTGTCTTTTTGCAAGTAATGAGAAAAGAATAGTAATAAAGCTTTTCTGTCTGAAACAGATGTCTCTTTGATCCACCCATCTACAGGGACAAAATTTATAATTGGAACATTAGTGCTGGTGACAAACCTAACACATTAAAAAGACAAAGAACAGAAAATGAATTCAATATATAAACCCAAATGAATACCTAAAATGAATATAAAATGCAGTACGTAAACATTGAAATCAAGAAACTGTATATACCGGTAACTGCTTCGTCAAATGGAAAACTTCAGACTACTCACTGAGGATCATCTTTATAATTTGAGCTCGAGTCCTGGTCATCATATTCGGCAGTATCATCTCTAGCAGCCAAGACAAGTTGGCCTTGTGGCAGTGCAACATCTGCTGTGGGAGTCAGGTCAGTCTTCTCTGGGGGTATATCTACCACCCGCACTAGACTACTGGTGTTCAGACACTCTCCATCTTCCGATTCCTCAACTGAAAACCATGCAAATGCAGTAATACATTATAGGTAACATTTGTAACTTATAATTAGGTATATACTCAAATTAATCAAGGGAAAAATTAGTATTAGTGTTGAATTTATACAACATAAAGAGGTGTACATTGTTGTCATTTTAGATTCAGCTACTAGGAACAAAATATTCCAAATAGCACGGGCTATGGTGAGCCGTAGTGGACTTGATATAAGAGGTGTACATATTTAGAACATTTGCTGTATCATATTGTGGCCAATTAAATGTTTCAAATCTGATTTTTGTACAATATTTGAATATTTCTTTACTACAAGGAAGCCATTGTTCATAGGCAATGGAAGTATAGTTGATCTATCAAAAAAAAAAAAAAAAAAAAAACTATCAAGATAAATTCTAGCATGATTTTCTGGAACAAGCTCCGAAGGTCTTCAATCACACCATTGCCTGTGCTCTTACCTTTCTGCTGCTGGGATATATAAGCCTCAGGAACAAATGGGAGGAGAGCTAAAGTCATGTCATGAGGTGTAGGGTTACAAAGGGAGACTTGAACACATGTCTCCACATCTGACTTCAGATCCATCTGATGAACCATCCTTACCTCAGGCACATGATAACTGTTGAGAATACAAATAAAAACACATTTACATCTTTGTATCCTCCTCCTATCACTATCCACTTAATAAAGTCAGCAATATTAAACAGTAAAACTCAATACTGTACATCTTTCTGTATAGACAGCAACATGTGTTGCTTCCGAGGATCAAAATTGCCCATGTACATTACACTTCAAATAATTCTTCCTTCATGTCTAACTTTTTTTTTCAAATGAGCAGCATTTTATTATTATTAAATTAATTAAATTTTCTGCCAAATAAACAAAAATCTACAATGGCTGTAAATAGCAGTAAAAGTTGGGGACAATATAATTGAGATTAGAAACTCAGAAGCAACTCCAAAATCTTGTTGAAAGCAATGCAATGGTCCATAATGTAATGGTCAAGAGGGGTTTATCCCAAAACCATCATATTTAAAGGTTACAAAAATATAAAAGAGCTACTTTCTAAATATGACACACTGTTGCTCTCTTAGACAAAATCCTGCTGACCCCATTGACAGGATTACATACAGGCAGGATAGGTTGATATTCAAGCATTGTCACAACAGGGATCTTTTCAAACATCCCTCTCTAGTCATGCCGAAGATGACCTCCAGTTCATCAGTTCATCTATTCATACACATTATATATATATCCATGTGCTTATTTCTTTACATGTTTAATGTAGTTCTTAGTATAGTACGCCATCATTTTTACTGATGTGTTCAAGTGCTCCCTCCATCTCTCTTTGAGCATTACATAAGTGATACTGTATGCACCACACTATTATCATTATTATTATTGGAAATATCCTAGTGACTGGTAACATTTCAGTAACATTGGTATTTATAGAAATGTACCCTAGGCTGGCAACACTGAGTAACACTGTAATAGTGGTAACGTATCACTGTCTGGCGAAAGAGACTTTAACCACCGAGCTGCATTGCTGGGATGCAGTTTCAAACCCAGCTGGAGACCTTATAAGTAGCCGAGTGACACAGGAGTGCGACAGGTAACTTGTGACTGTTACGGCGGGCAAGACTTGGAGGAAGCGCTGTAGCTGCATGAAGCAACGTCTTGAGGTTAATACCGAGTCTCCCTTCACTCTTCCGTGGGTACAAGGCCGGATCGCAAGTAGCGGTTCCTCCTGTGGTTTGACTGAAAGGGCTCTCAGGGCGATCAGCGGCACCGAAGTGTGTGGGAGCAAAGACCCGCAGCAGTGGTCATTGTGTGGTCCTCATCTCGGTTACTAACACAGACCCAGTAGGCCTAGTAACAACAGTCACATTTGAGCTTGAGAAGCAGTTTCAAGTTCTTACAAGGATTCTCAATGGGGGCATTATGTTAGATGGAATGTTCTCCAGTGGTCCATAGCACCAGTACATTCTTTGAAGAGACTGACCATGTGGTGCCAGAGCAGTGTGTCATCCTGTTCTTTGGATCCAGTCAAATCTTACTTTAGGAAGTAACATTTGGGGATTAGCTCAAAAAAAAACAAAAAGCCAGCTAATATACTGCAGAGCACATAACCTTAGGTAGCACTTGTATTCCAAGACTTCTGTCTTATGAGTATCTCCTGGTATCAGAGAATGTGTACTGAAACTTTGGAACAGATACACTTGCTACTTTGACACCCCCCCCCCCTTTTTCACAATTTTAAAAAATGTTTCCAAAACCTGCAACCAGGGGGCAGTGACTTGATAACAAATTTAAATTTTTCCATGCACCTACATACACAACAAACCCAAGTGTTAAAAGATTCAAGTTGATACACATGGCATTCTCTGGGTAATGCAAGGACACAATAAATGTTTATATACAGAACTTACTTGAAAACTAATGGTATTCCCTAGTGAACACCTTATAAACAACTGCTTTACAAACAAAATGCTCGTGTTGTGGAAACTACAATATGTAGCCCAGAATCTCTCAATCACTTAACATGGTGAACTTCAGGCAGACAATTCTTCTAACGATCATATTCATCAGCCCACATAATGAACCAAGTAAGTAAGTAATTATCAAAAGAAGGCACCAAACCCATAATGAACCAAGACAACAAACTTACAATGCTCCAAGCTGAATCTTGAATTTGATTGAAGAAGGATTATACTCTGGCTTAGAAAGGTTGTGCTCACAGTGGCGGCACCTAAGAGACCGCTTGACAAGAATGTGCTTGTGAAGCGGGTACAAGTCGCAGGTGTTCTCTGGCTGCCATTCAGGGGATGCCATGCGCTGCTCCATGTTTGTTGCTGATAGTAAAATATAATACTGTAGCCTACATATTTAACAATTAAAACATTTCCAGCAATGTCTATATGCATTATACTAAAAATTAAAAAGGCTATGGCAAAATGGCACATTTAGGGGCTTTGTAAAAAAAATATTTTACTTTAACACTACACAGGAAAATAAGATTTACAGTAAATTATAGGGAGTTAGCCCTCAATTTTATGGTCATATTATTAACACTTATTTTGAAGTGTGTTGTACTGTAAAACTAATACCATAGTAAGGGTCTATTTTAACAATAATTTGGCTCATGGCATCACAGTATAGTGTCGGGTACCGTCAGATAAGAAAGTATACACACTATCCTAGATTCATTATTAGTAAACTAAATAGATTTTTACAAGAAGTTGGCAGGTACAGCACCGTTATGTAAATTACGTCAAAATGATTTAGAAATTAACATGTCTCCCGCCAAACACACAAGACTATGACGTTGATACAACGTTCAAACAAATTATAGCACCTTCTAACAAGTTATAACAACGTTCTAATACGTCATCAAAACGTTACACCAAGATGTAACAATTGTAACAAAGTTGTAACAAGTGAAAAATAGGGCCAGTTACATTTTGAGTTTACAGAGCTCTACCTGTGAACATTTGAACTGACATCCCTTCAATTGTCTCCCCCATCTGGTTTCTTGACATTATGTATGAATACAGACTTATGTCTGAATATAAATTGTTAAGCAGAAGCTAATACAGGCACAGGGTAGCAAGAAAGCTCTTCATTTCATTTATACATATGCTCATTAAAAATTCTCCTTTAACATACCCAATGATAAAACGACTTCATCAGTAAATATATTATCGGGAAGACCATCTACTTCAGAAACGGCTTCTGATGGGGTCATTTCTGAGGCTTGGCTAGTATCCCCCTGTGGAAAAACATTAATAAAGTATGTAATGATGACAATAGTGGGAGGGGGGAGGGATGGAAGAGGAGAAAAACTGGTGCTAGTCTGGCTTTGATTCATTACTAAATGCATGCAAAATAGTTATACCAATGAGATTAGTAATTCTAGCAATTCCTAGCATTTTCATAAAATTTTAATAATAAATTACAGGATTTTAACAATACAGGTATTCATTAATATAATCCTACCTTTGGTGCATAAGGTGAGAGCGGTGCAAGAGATTTCCGTCCTAAGAGAGATGGAAGGCCATACTTGTCTGTGAGGGTCAAGTAAGCCGACTTACGATGAGAAAATCGTTTCCTCTCACGGTCAAGCTTCTCTTGCTGAGCAACTGACCGATAATGCTCCAACAGGGACTGCAGATACTTATAATGTTCATTATCCTGCTCAGACCAGCCTCCAGTTGCTATAACAATAATACAGGAATCAATAATTAACACTATAATGAATGTATTCATATACCCTGTTTAATATACAGGCTTAGTCTAATAGCAAAAATAGCAAAAGGTAACTAAATATTGCAAGCAAAATTCTATGACAAAATGCATCAATAGAAAGAGCTGCAATCGCTCTCCCCATCAGGATATTTCCTGAAAAAGAGTGATATACTGTACAATACGTATTATCAACTTACCAACTGTTTGATCTTTAAGACCAACATCCCTTGAAGTCCACCTGCAGCTTGTACAGGCCAAGTAGTACACCTTCCTGGTCACTGTTTTACTCGAGTCATCTGGAGATGGAGTTTGGATGCTTGTTGCTCTAGTTGATAAGGTGTGGCTGCAGCTTGGGCAATCAAAACAATTGGCACACCTGATTTAATAATAAAAGGAATGGATAAATAATAAGGACCATCATAATTTAGGGTTTTTTGGAAGGTTGGGAGGGGAGGGGGGGACCATTTAGCTTTTGGGGATGTTTAGAAAGAAATTATTCCAGATGAATGACTACAATACTAAACTCTATTTACTATTTGTGCTTGTAGCATTGAGCTGTTATCTTTTGGACCCCTGGTCTTTCTAACTGTCAGTTCTCTAATGTTCCGACTCTTAACTTATTTTTCTTCCATCATATCTAACACACACATTTCTCTCTCTCTCTCACATGCACGCACACACATCCCCAGGATGCAGCCCATAACAGCTGTCTAACCCCCAGGTACCTATTTACTTCTAGGTGAACAGAGGCACCATATGAAAAAAGCTGCCCATTTGTTTCTGCTTCGACTGGGAATTGAACCTGGGTCTTTAGGACTACAACCCCCAGAGCGCTCTCCGTTTGACTGTGAGGACCTGTACTGCACTTTAAATGACTACTACTGTAAAGCATTTGTAGTATGGCACTCTTTGAAATGTAATAGCTTATTGTATTTAGACAGTGACAGATTATCTCACAGGCCACTGGCTGGCTTAAAGCCAGCCAGAGTGGCCTGTGAATGTAAGAGTACAAGAATGTTATGTACTCTCACAAGCCCAATGTACAGTCTTGTACATAAAAACAAATAAATAAATACATAAATAAACTTTAAACAAAATTCTAAGGAGTTACAAAGACTGGAAAAATTTTAAGGGGGCCATCCAATCATTTATATGCATACCTGTCATATGCCTGTCAATGACTATGAGGATCAACGTCCCCAGAGCAAAGTCTCTACCCTGATCAGGCCTCCTAGTTGATGGTCTCGTCAACCAGGTTGTTCAATGTGGCTAATTGCAGCTTGACTTATGGAGTTGCAGCCTGGTTGATCAGATACCATTTGAAGGTGTTTACCAATTTCCATTTTAAACATTGCAAGAGGTCAGCTAGTTATGTCCTGCACGTGCAGAGGGAATGTTTTTGAAGTCTTGGGTCTTTGGTGTTTATCGAGTTCTTTCAATTGGCCTATTCAATGGGGCCATTATGGACCATTATAGGCCATTTTGCACCATTCAATGGGGCTACTGTGCACATTCTACCATGTCTTCTGGTCTAGTGTGGTGCTATTTATTTGTGCAGATTTGGAACTAGTACTTCTAGTATTTTCCAATTATAAATTATTATGCAATTCTCCTGCCTGTGCTCTTGGGAATACAGATTTAAAATTTTTAAGCAGTTCCAATAATTCAGAAATGTTATTGAGTGGATTCTAACAGTAAAAGTTTCAGCAACATAACCTAAACAAACAAAAAAATATTTTCTTCAAAAATTACAAATGTGAAAACACATCATGATGAACTTAAGTATTTCTACCTTAATTACCTTATAGGAACAATCTTCAATTTGGCGAATTAGTTTCAAGAAATTTGTTTTAATTTGAGGATTTTTTTATTCTATCAATAATTTGGCATAAATTTAAGTCTGGAAATTTATAACTCAATAAATTGGGCTCTAAATTAAAAATAATTGTCCAATTTGGAGAACACTAAACATGGCATATGATACAGTATGTAATATTCATTAGAAATGCTTTGAAATTGCAACCCAATTGTAATTTTGAAGTCGAGTACTTTTTATGACTTAAAATTTAAGACTTGTAATGAATATCTGTCAATTTGATTATCTTAATAATTTAGTGCAGTACAGTAATGCAGGATGTAACGTTAGTTATCTTGGTTAATACCACAAAGATTATGTCTTTGTGGTATTAACAATTAGTCTTGTTAATACCACAAGACAAGTTTGTAAGTACTGTATTGAGGTATGATTGAAATTGAAGTAAAGCAGCAATTAATTTCTATATTCAAGGAAGCTATATTTTTCTATAACTGTTTATTCTACTTCAGACAAAATCCATAATGACAGTATCTTTTTTAACTGATGTTAGAGATACAAAAAGAAATGTTTTGTTTTGCAAATAGAAAATCATGATTCTGTATATCTAGAGAAAGCTATATTAGACTAAGAAAAAAGTTATTAGATATCAAGAACTGTTGAGGCAAAACATACTACAATGCAACAAATATGGCAGATAAATACAATGGACTACATGCTAGAATAAATCATAACAGCTATTTATATTCCATGTACTAACTACACCTCAAATTTAACTGGAAACTGCTGCAGAAGCAAGCCCAGCTGTTTTATGACCTGGGAATTTAACCCAGGATCCCCAATTACGAGTACAGAACAAAGCCAACACCTAATCATTGGAATCTTAAATAATCTTTGTGGCATTAACCAATTTGATTCGAATAACTTAACAGTTTAAATGGTATTTAGTTTTATGGTATTAACTACAATCACTCGCCTGTTCTTCTTGAGACGTGCCTCGGTGGACGGCATATTCTCCAAGCAGTTGGGGCAGAAGAGCGTATCTACCTAAAAAGAAAAACCAATATATATATATATATATATAAGGAATTAAACATCAAGAGCAGATCTCAGGAAATCCCCACTGATCTTAAAGATATACATAGCGAGGAAAACTATTACTAAGACTCAATGTCAGACTTCAGACACACCCAACTACGGACACAACTTCCTTCCAAGTAACCTTACTTCCTATGTGGCAGCAACCGCCATTTACCTCGTGAGAAACACAGTTCCCGCATCTCAGCTTCAGGCAATGGCGGCAAAAATAAATAGCAGTGATAGGTTTGAGGACGCAACAGGAACACAAGAGGCGGACGCGGTCCACCTGGAAGAGGTGCGCCATGTTTATTGTGACTCACTGTCACCGTTAGTTCCGGCTCACGTTATTAACAACTCTCATAATGCAAGACAAGTATCTTAAACCGTTTAAAATTTGAGTTAATGTAAAATACAAACACATAATTTTCTTAAGATACTTTAAATTTCCTTGTGGTCTTTATCAGGATTATAATTAATTTATATATATATATTATAACAAGGAATTAGATGATTGTGGATCAGCTGTCACAGATGGTCGTATCGTACACACACACACACACACTAGTCTTTTTTTTTTCTTCTTCTTCTTTTTTGCAGGGATAATCCTGCGCGGGGCCCTAAGCCTCTGGCTGGCCCACTAAGTGTCGCTTGTTTCTGTTTTACTTGGGCGGAGTACGAGTATTTATGACTCGTATGGTCGCTTCAGTAAGATTTTGCCATATGTGTTTAACAACTTCTTCTGCTCTGTTGAATCTAAGTTGAAATCTTAACGGGTTTGTAACTGTGCACTGTGTTAGATAATGTTCCAGTGGTCTTTGTATCCTCACATTCCTTATGTACATTCTTGTATATGCATAAATAAATAAATAAATAAATAAATAAATAAAAAATGCAAAATTGACTTTGTCACTGCCTTTTTGATAACGTATACAATCATAAGCTTATTTGTGTATCTCTATTAAACAGTAAATCAGAGAGCGTGTAAGGTTCCGTGTTCCATGTCCGAAGAAACTGGGAGATTTTACATAAATACAGTACATGATAGTTTAAGTAGCGAACGCATACCAACAAATAACGATTAGTATCTATAACAAAAATATTGTTCTGTGGAGTTGATTTAACTTCCAACCATGTATTTTTAAATAATCTTTAACGTTTTCTGGCTAGTTATGTTAGATTTGATTAAAAATACGCATTCTACTTGTTAATATCGTTAGATTTGATTAAAAATACGCATTCTACTTGTTAACATCATAAATTAAATTTGCGATAATTTGAGCAGAGAAGTTCGACGACTGGATCACTGTGTACAGAAGGTTGATATGCCAGCAAACTCTTTCCAGAGAGCAATATATCCTGGATAAGTCGCTCCACGATATTGTTGCTTGGACCATCGACTTCCTTTGATATTACATATTTACATCTTATTTTGTTATGAAATGATATTTTTTCAGAGTAAAATTATGTTTTCTCATTTTCTGCATCCAGCATCCACATTATAGTGAGTAAATATACCATATTACTTCATTGCTTACGTAATGCTAGGAAGGTTTGAGTAGCTTTGGGTCTTTAGTGGACAGAATCTCCAATAGATGGGGCGAGAGTCGCCCCATCTCTCTCGACCGGGCGGGACTCGAAACTTAAATTAAAATTGCTATATCATTGGTCTCCAACATGATATATTTCCTTTGATGCACTCACAATAACGATTATAGCTCTGTCTTTCTGGAGGCATGTAATATTTTAGGCTTTATTAGCGTATCTTTGTTAATTACACAACATATTGGCAAGTGCGTAGGCGTCTGCACTCCATGACCGAAAAGCTACTGAACGCCACTATAAAAACATATATATCTTCACTTGAGCTTTAAATATGTCTAATGTAATGTATTTAAAATAAAGCTTATATTTCTATCCTTCTTAAGACGTGTAAAACATTTGTGTTTATTAACGAATTTACGTAAAATAAACATTCTTCTGAGAGAGTTGCTCTGTCGCTCAGTCTATGCGGGGGTCGGAGCTCGGCGATTATTAAAATACATGAATCTTCATTAGAACTTTAATTATGTCTATGATAAAGTGTTTAAAATGAGCCTTATATCCTATCTTTCTTGAGGCATATAAAAAATTTACGATTATTTACAAATTTACGTGAAATAAGCATTGTTCTGAGAGAGAGTTGCTCCGTCGATCGATCTGTCCGGAGTCGGAGCTCGGCTATTATAAAAGAGTACACGTATCTTCCCTTTAAATTTAAATATGCCCATGGTAAGGTATTTAGAACGAAGCTTATATATCTGTCTTTCTTGTGACATATAAAACTCTTACGTTTATTAAGGAATCTGCGTGAAATAGGCATGGTTCTGAGATGAATGCTGCGGTTTTCGAGTTTGACGAGCGATGAAAACTGCCACTTTTATACAACTACAAATATCTTCGGTTTTACTTAAAATATTTGTCTGGTAGAGGTTTTACATATAGATCGCGTTTCTGTCTTTCTTCTGACTAATAAATAATTTTGGTTTAATCAGTTATCAAGATGTTTTCAACAATATTCTTTCAGCGTTCGTCTTTTCCAACTTGGGCGACCCTTTTGGAAGCGCGATACTTGGGTTAACCCATCCTATAGTTGGGTCTGTTTCCAACTGGGGTTCGAATAGTTTCATTCATAAGGTCGCTTGTTAAAATTTTTATTTTATTATTCGTATATAATATGTCGTGTATAATAACTGTTATAATATACATTTATAATATCAAGCGATGGATTAGTTTTTTATTAATCTACATAAAATCCACGTTTCTGCCCGAAACGCTACGTGTGTTAGTGACTTTACAATAATGTAAAAATACCAGTATTATGTACTCTAACAAACATATTGTACCTTCTTATCAATAAAAATAAATAAATATATAAATAAATAAACCTACGAATCCATCTACGAAGTGATATACAACCTGTACCAAACCAAAGATATACGCAGCAGTTGTGTACGATTCGACCAGACGGGTCTGGCAGCACGCTGATGTATTTACCTGAATTTACCTGATTATTGTAAAGTATCAACGAGTCAGCTAGTATTTAGCCACTGGCAGAGCAGCGCTTGGTATCAGGCCGGTAAGACTCGGTGTAGTGCCTTTAACAACACGACCAACTGTACATTCTGACCATCTTAAAAACCTTCCTCGTGTATTTTGGTGCTGGAGACACACACTGCTGTAGCTTAGCATTTTAAAAGCACCGAATCACCTTCTGTGGTTGATTGTTCAATAAACCCTTGAACTATATGTTTAACACAATAACCCTGTCCATGGAGGACACAAGAAAATGTATATATGCTGGTTAGCATTGTAAATGTGAGGCCACGTCTGTGGTAGAAAATAATAATAAAAAAAAAAAAAACTGCTGTAGAGGAACAGCAGCTTGATCAGTAAACTTATTGTGTGTCACATGTTATACTTGCACTGGTTGTTGTTGTTTCAGATTTAGGTACTCGGAACGAAGTGTCCATGTAGCACGGGCTATGGTGAGCCCGTAATACTTGCACTGGTTTTAGCTCACATTAAGTACATTGTGATGTGGGGTGTTGCAAGTCTCAAGTGCCTCACAGAGGGTAGAAGCCACTTCTTTCCTGAAGACCATTCGCTAACGGGGTTTAAATTTATTTATTTATATACCAGAAGGTACATTGGGTTTATGAGAGTAACAGAGACTTGAAGTTTTACATTCTTGTAAAGCCACTAGTATGCATAGCGTTAAATCCTACCTAACCTAACTTCACGTACCATTGCCTAATCCAGCCCACCGTAATGTTACATATGGGTTCAACAATTTTAAAATGAGCTTAATCAGAATACCAGTATATGAGTTGACTACATATATGGATTACAAGGCTATGAGTTTTTTTTTTTTTTTTTTTTTTTTTGCTACTACGTTTAGTACCATATTTAAGTTGTTTAATTTTCCCTCCGAGAGGCGAGATCACCGCGGCAAACGTAGCACATTTTGGAATGTGACTCGTGATTGAGGTGAGGTACGAGAGACCCGGAGTCCCCCCCCTAAACACTTTCAACTTGTCAGTCTCATTACAGTTGGCTCTGCTTCTCTTCTGTCCCCTCCACGATGCAATGACGATAGTTTATACTCTTCTTTTGATGAAAAAGTGGGAGAGTTGGGCATGATTTTTTCCAGTAGGGTATTCAAATCCACTCTTCAATATCAACAGGGGGTTTTAAAAGTTAGCTTTGCTGGAATTCGGCTCCAGTAAGGTCAGAGTTTGCTCACTTTTAGCACAGGGGCTGGGCCAGGAACTTGCTAGTCAATATCACAGACAAAATAATGCACAGTGGAGGGCTTGTGCACATCTTCGTGACTGAAGACGCTCGTACAAGATAGTCACTCCAAATGTTTGGCATCAAATTCTTTTAGTCTTTGTTTCTAATTAAGGTTACATATCTGTATTAGTTTTTACAACCTGTGTAAAAGTGTATAGTGTGTTACACAGGTACTTGTAACTGAGTAACATAACCAACATTATCATAGGGTATTTAGAGAATAGAAATTAATTTTCATGGTAAGTCATCTACCTTTTTTCGCTAGAAATAATTGCAGTTTGTTACATTTTCAGTCGTAGAGTAAACTTGGCAAGATGAAACTCGACACTCCACCACCTTCCCCCGAGTCTTCATATGAGGGAGAGAGAGACGATGTGATTGATATTGGTGATATAGAGGAGGTGAGTAAATAGCTCTTAACTGTTATAGTCTTATTTAATACAAATTATTACTCATCATGACTGTACTTGCAGTTAAAGTATTTGCCTTTGATTTACTCTTTATTTTGACTGATAGTTTTTGCAGTCGTAAAATTGTATTAATTAGTGCATGCATATAGCTAGTAATTAAGCTAAAATAAAATTACTATTTCTGAGCTACCTCACCCACCCACCTTAAGTTAGCTCTGCCGTGTACATTGGCAAGAGTCCCGGTAGTACAGTCGGGTTCGTTCCCAACTTGCAATCTGTTCTGTAATCAGGAACTCTGTCGTGCCCACCTTTGCCCAAGTGAATCACCTTGTCCAGGAATTGAACTTGTGGTAAAATCTGTTATGATCCAAGATGGTGCTGCTTAAGTGTGTTACTCCCACCATATACTAAGGAGACGTATTCATTCAAGTTACAAGATGATTCAGGTTACCAGAATTTGGATTGCCGAGCTCTTACAGTACTGTATTTAAATCAGAGTTCAACTTGTTTACCATGTCATTGATATTCACTTATCCATTCTTGAAAATACTTTAAAGATAATAAAAAGTCATGATTTGCTTACCAGTAACAATAGCTTATTAGAAATATTTTATGTATTTTGCATGAAAAATCTAAATTAAAATACAGTACAGTAGATGATTTTGTTCTAAGTTCCCAGTTGTTTCTCTCAGGTGATAGAGCTTGATGACGACACAAACTTGGAGGAGGTTGCTGATAGGCTGGTGGCTGCTGGTGGAGAGGACGAGGACGATGAAGAAAGTATGGATGAAGACACGGGAAATATAACGGATATGGCTGCCCTTGTTTTCTCCAAGCACAAAGGTCTTTGTGTGAATTTGCATAATTATAATCATAAAAATGATGAATTCTAGATATAAAGAAGCACAGATAAATACAATATTTCTATTAATCAAGTAATTTAAGGTTTAAATAGTTTATGATTAGGTAATGCAAGTCTTTGTTGGTGTTGATATAATACATACAATATGCAAACTTACCCGGGAAAACCTGTTTCAGGCTCGGTATTCAGTTGTTCCGTATCATGTAGTGGGAACATAGCAGCCACAGGGGGTGAGGATGACTTGGCATATGTATGGGATATAAACTCAGGCAATGTGCTATTGACTTGCACAGGCCACAAGGTAAGTACAGTATTAACATGATGAAATAAGGTACTGTTTTTATAAAAGTCTAAATTAACTTGCTTTTCTGAGCTATTACATTCGATTAAGATTCCTGGTGTTCTCAGACAAGATCATGTCTGAGACATGAGATCCTCAGATAAGACCATGCCAGTCAGGACGGCATACAAGCATAGCACCTCGGGGAAATTTCCTAACAACCCTGAAGGATCATATAAATGCTGGGGATTTACAGGAGAATACTTAATCCAGTCCAAAATGACTGCCAAAAGTTGTCGCGAAGATTTTGAGCCTTCTATATGCATCACGGGTAACCTGGTGGTTGATGGTCGTGTTGGTCAGGTCATCTTGCCAGTTGTTTCCAAGGAACCCCGTTGGCCAGTAACATAAACTTCATAACACTGTTATGAAGCCAAGAGCGAGTTCAGAAAGGCTTTGAATCTGTAGATTATTCTATGGTGCTCATTCTGTCCTGGACTGAGAATTCTTCATTGGCTTTATCACTTATTATGGCATTGAAGAAATGTTTCATAATTCTCTTGAGTGGTGTTCTGTGTGCCATGCTGCCTGACTGTGCCTGTATAAGGACACTGGGAAATATTATTTTGGGAAATGACCTAAGGTAATGATTCTACTCGGAAAAGAATTTTACATATTGAATCAAATAATTTTGTTTACTTGGATTTTCAATTAAAAATTTGTCTTAGTAGGGTTTACATACTATAGAACAGTTCAGTATATATAATTTTAGTTTTATACTGTATATAAATTTAATGTAATGCTTCTGGATAATATTCTTTTGTGTACCACATAGGACAGTGTGACATGTGTCGAGTTCAGTCATGATGGGTCCTTGCTAGCAACGGGGGATATGAATGGATACATTCAAGTCTGGAAAATAGCAACATTGACCAAGATTTGGGAGTTTGAGACTGGAGACCTTTGTGTAAGTTTTTGTCTAAAGAAATATACAGTCTGTTGTGTATATTTTTATGCATATAATTTAATATGTAAACAATGGTAATACTGTATGCAAAATGTCAAGAGGTTACCTGTGATTTGCATGGTATCAGAAAATGCTGTCATGCTTGCACATTTCAGTGCCTGTACAGGGTCTTTCATGTATACAGTATCATGTATCTGAACTGTGCAGAATAATTTTCACATTATGCAAATTGATTGTGGTTGTTGTTGTTTTAAATTTAGCTACTAGGAACTAAAATTTCTATGTAGAACAGGCTATGGTGATGTTCCATTAGGAACATCAAGGGAACATAGGATGAAATATAAAGCTGAACTGCAAATGGTGTTTAGAGGTAATTGTGGATGGAGTGTTCATGACTTTGCAGGGTTTGTGACAGAGATTGTTGTGAAGCTTGTCTGAAGGATTAGAAAGGAAAGGTTCAGTGATTTGCAAGTAGAAAGATGTCTTGGAGGTAATCCAGCCCTATTGGACTGGATTTGGAGGGATGCAGACACTGCTATAGCTATCAGGAAATTTATAGCAGAATTACCACACAAGGCATAGGAGCCCCACCATGTTTCTTATATACTTTTAAGTTAAATTTGTGGTTTTATCTTCATGCTGTTCTCCAAGAATACATCCTCCTTTTAAACTATTTTGTTATGTATACACTCATCTTTGTTGCCTTTCAACACCAGTTTTGTGCTCTTTCCAGTGGTTAACATGGCACCATGCTTCACACGTGTTGCTGGCAGGGACTGTGGACGGAGAGACATGGATGTGGCTAGTGCCTCAGGGTAATGCTCGCACCTTCCCTAGCTATGGTGTAACCTCCCAGTGTGGTGCACTGCTTCAGGATGGTAAGAAACACTTGCATTACTGTTATTTTACTATTTTGTGGATTATTCACTTCCATTTCTTGCATGACAAAAGCACATGCATGATTGGAAGAGAAGGAATAGGGAAAACATGATTAACACGTACAAAATACTCGGGAAAATGGGCAGGGCAGACTACAGTATTTAGCATGGTTAGTAGACAATCAAAGGGACTTTTATGGAAACTCGGTACCCAAATGAGCCACAGAGTCATTAAAAAGGATTGTTTTTAGTTGCAGGCTAATGGCAAATGAAAGGTATTAAAATTTAAGTGATGGAAACATTCACTCACTGCTTTAAATGTAGACATGACAGTCCATTAGGTTCTAGAACTTATTCACCAGTCAAATAAGGGTTGAGAGTCGAGATCTAAGAGCCACATATCAACTCTTCTCCCCCCACAAGTGCAACTAGGCACCTAAACCCATTGAATCTTTCTCTAAACCCATTCCCACTTGCCCATAATTTGTTAACATTTTGGTATCGCTGTAATTTCACTACGCAAAATATTGTACGTCTTTTTAATTCTTTTGTTACACAGCCTTTGCAATCACCATAACCACCTCAGTCCTTTTAAATTTGAATTTTACAAACAAGCATCTTGAACTGCATCTTAAGAAATCATTCATTGCCTTGTACACTATACTCTCCAAACTTTATTTCACATAAACCAAGCATATTTAATGTTTTATCCTTGAAAACTTAACCTGTTCCATCCTAGCTTTTTTTTTTTTTAATTTACTCTCTTCACATTCCACTAAGCCTTAGTTGTCTAGGGTATGGGCAGGTGCAAGTCCTAAATACATGGCTGAATTTCGTAGGCGAGACGTTTAAGGAGATGGCTAGGAAGACTGGGCTGCAGACATCATCAAGGGTAAAAAGCTTGCCCAATAATCCTTCTATAGTTTTCTTAATTCTTAGGAACATCCAGTATGCCTCAAGAATACAAGTGCCAAATCCAATAAAGAATACATAATGCCTGTCATTTCCCTTTATTTTAAGGGAAGCGGTCGGTGACTGGTTATGAAGATGGTTCTTTGCGTGTATTTGACCTGAAGACTGGACAGCTGCTTCATGAGTTAAGTGGTGGCTTGGCACACGATGCTCCTATTACCAGCCTTGACGTGCATAAGGACAACACTCTTGTTATATCAGGCTCCATGGATGGCACAGCAAAACTATACAATGCTAATAATGGAAAGGTTGGTTTTAATTATGATAGCGAAGAGGTAACTGACATTATATGTAGTAATGGAACGAGTCTGATACTACTTTGGTAGAAAAAAATGTGGCCACACATTTACGATGCTAACCAGCATATACTGTATAAATTTTCTTTTTGTATGTTTTCTGTGCAGCTTGTTGGCACTCTCAATTGTGAAGTAGCTCCAAATTCTGACGAAAACAGTGTAGAGGTTGATCATACAGTGGAGGCCGTCAGTTTTTGTCCAGTGATGCCCAGTATTGCAGTCACTGCCACGTTATCTGGATATGTTACCTTTTGGGATGTTGCTTCACAGGTTAGTCATTTTGTTTTCTTTTAATATAAATCCATTGTTTATATAATGGAAAATAGCTGTAAGAATTAATATTTTTCCCCTTAGTTCCATCATAAGACCTAATTTTCTACTCTGAATATTGCAATTATGATTGACAACTGGATAATGAAGGATAAGTAGAAGGCTAGAAATAAGTTAAATGAAAAGTTTCAAGTACATGTTGGAAAAATGCATGCGGGAGTTATTGAGTGTAAAAGCTCTCTCTTGTGGGTTAGAGGCTTTTTTTTTCCCTTTTGTTTTTGGAGTTTAGATACTGTAGTATCAAGATTTTATAAGTATATGCCACAATTATTTAAATTATAATTTTTATTTTGTTCAAGAGTTGTCAATGACCATACTTTTCAATGAATACTTTTTACTTTTATAGTAGTGTACTGTAATGGTAATTCATCTTTAACCCTGACACTTGCATTTAGACCAATCTGCTCCAATTGTCTGGAGATGATTTAAGGCGTCCTATTTTATTTGAAAGCCCCACGTAATCTAGGGAAATGTCATTTGACACTAGAGACGTCTGTCAGTTGTTTGCTATATAGCATTGGAAAACATCTAGTTTCTCTTGGTTTCCTTCCAGGGGCATTAGTAAAAGATGTTGCTACTAACATTTGTTAGTAGCAACATATAATATTGTTTAAACATTTCCTCAGTGGATGGGAATGTTGCTTGTTCTCAAAAGTTTTATAGCTTCATGCACCTAAAGGTAAAATAAACTAAAAATGCTCTTATTTTAGGAACAAGATCTTGACATTTGCCAGATGCTAACCAGCAGTGTTTAACTTACCTCTTCAGATCTTAGATTATGTATCACTTTCCACTGAGCTCCTGGCTAAGGATAATAAGGGTTTTGTTCTTGAGATTCAAAGTTGCATATCTTGCCTAAACAGCAGTTTGCATTAGTTTTGTGATGTCTCTTAGGTCTCATAATGCTAATGCATGTAAATAGACCATTTGATTTATATATTGCAACTGATATAATCTTGCATGACTCCCAAGCCCCATGAAGTGGTCTTGCAAGGAAGCCTTAGTTTCTATGGCATTGGTTTGATGTATTTCTGCATGATTTGTTCATTAAACTTGTACAGTAAAAAGTGTACACAAACTAAGCCTACTTTTTCCCAAAAGTGCCATTCCTCTGTGCTGGGAACATTAATACACAAATGTTTGTCATGTACTAATGCTGTCTTATAATTTCAGATTCAAACATTGTATTTTCATGATGTAAATAATTTAACAAATTTATGGCAATTTTAGATATCCAAGTGACAATTCATTTATCTGTTAGTTCTCAGTGCAACATTTTTGTTCAAATCATCACTCCATGCAGCTCTCAAACATACTTTCATTTAATGAGAAAATATTCTCTACAAATATCACTTTCAGGTCACACGACATATCGTAGCTCAAGGTTGTGGATCATCTCAGCTACTCTGGCACGCAAGTGAGCCAATTTTGTTCTCTGCTGGGCTCGATGGTGCTGTGCGTTCCTATGATGTGCGATCAGGAGACCCTCTTGCCAAGTATACAGGACATAAGAGTAGTATACTAGCATTTGGTATCTGCAAGTAAGAATATCTGTTTTTCTAAACTTGTGTCTAATTAGCCTTGCACATATGATTGAATGTTAGTGTGACCATCTCTAAAATTATCTCTTGAAGCAGGGGTTCTTAACCTGGGATCCATGTATGTTTACTGTATTCATATTTTGTGTTGTAATATACTGAAAATTGATTGCATCATAGTGAAGAACAGTATATTCGTTGCTTCCTTGCATGCAAAGTTGTTTGTGCATTTTTTCACTACGGGCTCACAATAGCCTGTGCTGCTTGGAGCTTTTTGTTCCAAGTAGTGAATCATTAACAACATGTGCATTTTTCTAGTGAGGGGGTCCATAGTTTTCACCAGATTTTCAAAGGCGTCCATGACTCAAAAAAAGGTTAGAGGTGTCTAGATTCAAGAGGTGCAGTAGCACTACTTCTGTGAACAACATTTGGGTCTTTGTGTTTGTTTTCTACTTCAGCCTGAAAATATGCATTTTGTTTTCCAGGGATGGTTCTGCACTTGTCACAGCGTCAGATGACGGCACAGCCCGAGTTTTTAAATTATGATTATTTGTAATAATAAAAATTAGATTTTTTAAATGGTTAATTATCCTAGGAGTATGTGTTCATTGTACCTTTAAAATATTTTAAAGACAAAATACCAGTAAGACTCTAACCTTTCAAGGTAATGAGTCTTAAACTGTCAGGAACAATGAAACCACTGACAAATCCAGCACCCTGACCACCAGCAGACTATTCAAAAGTATTAGATAGTAGAGACTATTTTTGCCCAATACCACTAGGTAGTCTGAGATCAGAAATCGGTTTCATCAAATCGATTCACTATAGGGGAGAACTCGAGTCTAAATTGTAACCACAAACTTCCATAATATGGCTTATGTGATAGAAAGACAAATACATGGCTATTTCATAACTACTGTGAACAAACCTGCTTAATCTGGTCTGATTCTTTTGCAGGCAAAGGCAAAGTTGCCTCATCATGGTGCAATTGTTATACAGTTCTTCCCATTACCACATGTATGGACAGTCACTGACATGAGAATTGCATCTTTCCATTTTATATGGTGAACTTTTATGGCTGAATTTTGAATCTGTTTGGTTACAGTACACTAGTTAAAATTTGAGAATACTGTAGATCACTTTGATACAATTGTTTATGACTTATACACCCTCACACAGCTAACTACATCATCATAGGCTATGCATTGAAGAACAAGTCCAACACACTATCTGAAGGCGAGATGTGTGGGACTTGTTCTCCAACTCAAAACAAACATATATGGTGGGGCAGGGAAAAGCAACCTTAGCACATAGGCAGAGCAACATAGTTTACAAAATGCCATGTGGAATAATACAAGCATGAAACAAATGGAGGAGCAAGAGGGGGTTGGGGTTGAAAGCAATGGACATGAGGGGGCCATTGCTTTCAATACTTATGACAGTAACAATGGCCCCACATGGAACTAAATTTCCAGGTATTGTCAACACCACTTAGGTGAACATAGATCAACTAAGCTTTTTAGATCCCAACAGGTGCATCCTTGACTCCACAAGAGTGATGAGGTGGGCAATCAACAGGGATTATGGGTGACTTTTACCGTTATTCAGTGATCAGATGCTTCAAGATTAGCACTATGTGTGGCAATAATTATTTGTTAGCCTTGGGCATTAGTTTGCTTTGCCTACTTTTCTGATGTTTTTTTTTCCCTGGCTCTCTGATCCTCAAGCTCCCTTCACCTCGAAGTGAAAGCCAGATTATGGTCCTGACTTTCAGTACGGGTTCAGAGGTCTAGTACACTTCTCAAGGCTTGACTTTACCAGAGCAAATATTTACTGGCAGCTAGCTACTGAGAAAGCCTCCCAAAAAGCATAATAATGGTGCAAGGGCCATATTTTAAATTAAGAAATTCTTGTAAACACGTGTGTTCTGGTAATTTAAAACCGAGCTTGACTGTTCTGTAAATTATATTTGAGCAATTCATATACTAGATATGATTATACAGGCATATAAAATCTATTATTAGAATGTAACAACTTAGTAAAGAAATCCTGAAATACTGCTTAGAATACAGTTTTGTTAAATTCTTGACTGCTTCCCTGTGTATTAAATTATGGTACTTCATGTAAAAACTAAAGGCAAATACAGGATAGTAGCTCCTAACAATACATATTAAATCACAGTCTCATTATTTACAAATCTATGCAGCATTTTCTTAATGGAAGAACGCATTTAAACCTCAATACGATGGAATGGAAATGCACATTATTTATTTAAAGTGCCTCGTATGGGCCAATAGCAGCTGCCTCGTATGGGCCAATAGCAGCTGCCTCATTTGGGCCAATAGCAGCTGCCTCGTATGGGCCAATAGCAGCTGCCTCGTATGGGCCAATAGCAGCTGCCTCGTATGGTCCAATAGGAGCATTTGGCCATGAACACATTCAGAACACCTCGAGTGAGAGCAGCCACACCCAGTCAGTCTCCCTCACTCCAACATCTTACTCGCCAACATTGCTCCTCCCACCATATTGTTATAGTTCTTATTACACATGGTCTATATACCTATCTACATGTTTTATTTACCAGAACTATGCAAGTAAGCCGGTATTGTGTCCAAACAGTACAGTGGCCACCATACACTGCATGAAAAATCACACAGCAGACGACGCTACGATTACGTCACCTCCCTCACCAAAATAGCTCCTCTCAACATTCTCCTGTTGCTGTTCTTACACTATATACACACACTATATATACCCATGTACATATGTGTTGCCCACAGCAGCAGTTTTTTGTACAACTAGTGAGCACAATTGAATTTAGAAAGATATATGAATAACAAAGAGATACCGAGATCTATAAGGAAAAACATATCGTAAATTAAATATCCTTGGAATAAATTTTAGACATGAAATATATTCATATATTTTTACACACTTACAAAATTATTAACATTTCTGAATTCCTTTGCTCTTTTGGGATACATAAAACTGCATACTATGTATACCTGAAAGGTTATTTCACTTACAATATGACCACAGTTCAGTCATAATTAAGTAGGGGCACCACTTGAGAAGGTGTTGCCGGATGTCTGCACAGTGGACACTGCTGACTTGTCTGCAGACACTCCTGGATGCAGTGCCAGCAGAACAGGTGTCCACAGGGTGTGACTGACGAGTACTTTCGCTCGTCAAGACACAGAGCACACTGCTTTTTACTCTCTATGTAACACTCTTTTTTTTTAAGTGTTAAGTAAAAAAAAATATTATTATTTCTATGCTCCTAAATGGTGAGGCAGTATTTATCACTCAACCCTCATTTATACTAACGTGTGTCATTGTGAATGTCATGCAATAATTGTGCACCGTTTACAGTAACTTGGCTGCTTATAGCCTTAATTACATTTTCACAAAAAATTAATTACTAACTACTGTATTAACTGTCATATAAAACTACAGTATTTAAAAAAAATAAAAACAAAAATTACTCTTGATGTTAACCATTAAAAAGTCTAAACTACAGTATTTAATACATATGCACAGTGCTGTAAACGAAACTTGAAACCAAGTATAAATTCAGTACTGTATCAAATAAATTTTGTATTTTACCAGATTACATAAAACTTACTTGCTGATGGCTGTGTATTCTCCGTCGGAAGCTTGAGAAACAAGTGTGTATAAGCTGCATACACAGTAGTCAAAAGGGTATGAGTAAGCAGCACCATTCCTAGGATTTGAAATGATTTGCTTGCAGAACTGTCACCATACCATTCACGTACCAAAACCTAAATGCATGAAAGAAGCTTCAATTTGTCTTGGAGAGAAAAGTCACAACTTGTTTACAGGAAAACAATGAAAAAATCACATATAACATGTAGATACATCATGATGAAATTAATCCACAAGCAATATTTCACTCTATTTATTACAGAATTGATGAATTTTGTGAAATACTGTATAGTATTTTAAAAAGAAATCTTACTAGTGAAACTATTGTTAAATAAATTGTAAGTTTAAAAAAAAAAATCACAATGTCATCTTTACAGAATTGATGATTTTTTGCAATCACTTTACAGAATATTACAGAATTGATGAATTTCGTGAAATACAGTACAGTATTTTAAAAAGAAACCTTATTAGTGAAACTACTGTTAAATAAATTTTAAGATTTAAAAAAAAATCACAATGTCATCTTTAAGAGACTGAAAGATATATACAATATTACAAAAAACCAGCGTTGAATGTAATGAAACGCCATTTTGTGGGTTAGCCCTTGAGGCTCCCTGGAGCCATCGGGCTAATAAGCGAAACATTAGACCGGGGCATTAGTCTTCGGAGTTCAGCCTACCAGAGACCATGAGCCAGAACCTGCTTGTGGAGTGACAAGTCACACCACTCTACAAGTGACACAGCAGTGGAGTGTGACGTTTGCTTGTTTCCTTAGGATTGGAGGGCGTTCTGCCTCTCTTTTTCGGATTTTAGTTGTAATTTGCTTACCATGTGGGGTTTGTTTTGTTATGCCTACCTTTCTGGGTGCCTAACCCCAGTCGATGGCAGATAAGGAAATCCCCCAACCACAGGGGAGGTTCTCAAGGGCCATTGCTCCCTGCATCTCTGAGGGGGGCCAGGTTCTGGCTCATGGGTCCCCGGTAGGCTGAACTCCATAGACTAATGCTCCAGTCTAATGTATCACATATTAGCTCCAGGGAGCCGTAGGGGCTACCCACAAAATAGCGTTGATTGTAATGAAGTGTAATGAAGTCGTCAATAATAAAGTAATTGAAGTAATAATGATGTCATGTTAGTGAAGTTACTTCAATAATGAAGTAATAAAGTCACAATAATGAAGTACTCGATTGTAATGAAGTCGTCATTTCTGATTGATATTGGCACTTGGATGCTTCATGAACATAGTCATGAACATTGGCTTCATGGATGCCTACATGTTCCGCTCAGGACACATCACCCTCAAGGTTCCCATGACTTATTCCCATTGTGACAAGAATCTTTATTAGTGGCCCTAAGGACACCAGCTGGGCTAGGCCCTATCATTGCTTTAAAAATTAATTTATTATGAAGGGCATGGATTATAAAACAGGATTCTACCAAATGTGAATAGGCAGTTTGCAGAATGATATAGAAATGGGATCTTCCAAAGTGTTCGCTTTTGTTAATTCCAGTAGCCTACCTGGCCAGGCAAAATATGATCTTGAAAAATAAAAGCCTGCAATCACTAGTGCCATTAAGACCTAGATATCTTTCTTCTCTTATTTTAAATTTATAACAATAAAACCTACAGGAAACATCTGCACATGTTAAAGCAATGATAAACATTTTACTATGAGCATACTTACATATTTTATACCAGTAATTCTTTTAGATAAATGATAAAATGCACCAGAAAAATAAAAAGTGGCTAGGTGAAGACGATGCAACAGGGTAATGGAGTATTTTAGAGTTGATATGTGTTGCAGTACAAGATTCTTCAGCTCTGGCCGGAGGTATATGGATAACTTTCCAGCTCTAGAAGAGTCTTCCAATTTGGATAGCAGCCTTCGTATAACTTCTGGACCAAAACATTGAAGTATTACCATGGCTACCCTCTCCTGAAAGCGACATATCATAACTAATATCCAGTATAAATGCCAACCTTTGGTGGGTAAAGAACCCCCCCAAAAAAAAACTTTGACAAATGCTGTATGACATTTGCCACTTTAGAAAATGTAGTGTTTACAAATAAATAGGAAAGGGAGTACCACCTATGGCTGGAAGAAGGGGGACCCATAGCCTCGGAGGAAACCACACATAACGCATTGGAGGGAATGTGGGTTTACAAATATGTATTTACAGTTGCCAGCCATCCCTAAATAAATTTCTCCCCCAAAAAATAGCATTCAAATTTTAGCATGTACTGTACGTACTATACCTATTAAAGTAATAATATACAATAATAATAATAAACTGGCAATTTACTTACCCCTATTTTTATGGAGTTCAACTTTGTGTTTTGTTTGACCATATATTACATTCTCATAAAAATAACAAATTTGTACAGCAGAAATTATTAGCCAAAAACTAACGATCAGAAACCAATAAGAATTTCCTCTTATTATAAAAAAAAAAATTAATACATAACATACCTTTTGATAAGTCATGAAATTATTGGTTTTGTTAATATTTAAGTTATGTTTACTTACAAAAGTGTTTGGTAATCTTCTCTTTGTGTGGTCAACTTCTAGTATCCCTGTGTACTCCTCTCCTAGGGTTTGACGAAGACATAATGTAGTCAAGCTGTAATAAGCAAACTCACAGAGAATCTCGGCATGTTTATGTATGTCCAGCCACACTCTAGTACCTGTTAACAGAATGAAAAGTAATTCACAGACTATTCACACTTTAAAAAAATTATACAGTAGTGTGGAAACTACTTCAATAAGTAGGATTCAGTTCCAATTGTAAGGAAAGTGGTAGTGGAAAATAACAGAAGAATTCTAATTGTATGAAATGCAGTGAAAAGAAAGAATAAAGAATATTTTATATATAATTTGTTCCTTTCCCAAGAGATTTTGGATGTGCCAAGAACAAATAAATGTTTAAGAAATAATAACTACATGCATTTTTGTATTTAATATAGTATTGTTGAAGTAAATAAAAGATGTTACAGTATTTAAAAGAATTCAGTTGGTATAAAGTTATTATACTCATGGAGCATAGCTAAATTTATATATGAAAAAATGCAATCAATTAATAATTTTAATATGTACTGTATCTACAAATATTAACAAACACAGCTCTGGTTTAGATTAGATTCTTATTATTCATTTTGGTTTAGACTCTTATTATTCATCCATTATTACAGCAAAACAGTTATACAATATAACATACTTGAGACAGTATTTGTAGACTGTCTTAACTACCAGTATATTTAAGCTTACCTGCTGACCTTTGGACAACCTCAGAGACACAGCTCTTCAGATGGTCAAGAAAACTCTCATCCTTCTGAGATGCTCTAAGAACCTCTGCAGCTCCAGCTTGTTGGAAAGGCATCTGAAATTTTATGAATTTATGATTCAATTGAACTTCAGCATCCTGATGAATTTACATGTAATATTTATTAATATGACAATAAAATAATTAATTATAATTGATTTTTATTCTATGCAATTCTGTGCTTATAGGAGATAATTTTGTAGAAGTTGCAGCAATATTTCTGGGAGAAAGGGGAATTGAAAATATATTGCTTTCTGTTGGCAAGAACGAGTGTTATGTTTATCGAGATCCCCAGACGACTGTACATTCCACAGAATGCAAAAAATAGCAGATGACTAATTCCTAGGTATCTATTTGCTGCTGTAAAAAAGACTTTACATATATATATATGCTAAACCATGTATTCTAGCTTAAAATCAAAATTAACTTGCTTTTTTAATGAATTTTGGTTCATTTCTCCAGCCCAGTTTCTGTACCTTTTCCATTACAATACTGTTCACAGGATGTATATGAGGTGCATAATAAATGAACTAAACTATTTTTGTTAGTTTAGGATAAGATAGGTTTGGGTAGCTAAAGATAGGATAGGATAGATTGGCTTGGGTTTGCTTAAAGAGTAGTGATGATGAAGCTGTGTTAAAATTTTGGCAGTTCTTATACCCCACATCAATTTTTTTACAGGATTTTTGGGCATCACCATTTACTGGGCTTGCTCCACAACAAAAGTAGGCATAATAATCTAACATCTCCAAACACAAAATTTTAATAAACCATTTACAACTTTTCACATAAATAAACAATGTCAACATAACTGAGGGGTCCCGGTAGTACAGTCGAGTTCATTCTAGACTCACTCGAGAATTCCGGGTTCAAATCCTGGGCGGGACAAATGGTTGGGTGCATTTTGTTCTTACCCTTGCTGGGGTGGTTCTTCTTCGGCCCCGACCATGGCGGTCTCTGGGTTTGGAGTCCCTGAGCCTTATTTCACCAACTTCGAGGTCAACTCCGAAACTCTCAGTTCCTGCTACGGCGCTGGAACCAATCATATTGGCATTTGCCTTTCCATGGGAGACTTTCGGCACCATGGAGAGGGGGGGACCTGCTGCATGGGTAACGGCTTCTCCTCCATATCAACCTATCCTGACTTTGCGCCCTGGAGAGGCCACTCAGACCGACAACCAAAGCGAAACCCCATAGTCTCCTGAGACTGATGGATGCCTACTACTACTAATGCAGCTGTTCACGTAGCTGTAAGTAGGTACCTGGGAGTTAGTCAGCTTGTTGTGGGGTTGCATCCTTGGGGGGTGGGGGGTGGTCTGTAATTCGACCTTAAAGGGGGGGAGGAGACCTCGATATAAGCCAAACATGTATAAACACACACTGGTTGCCTGTCCGTCAACACAATAAATTATTAATCATGACAAGTTATCCGTGTCACTAATCTTATAATCTTCAACTCTGACAATGTAATGAATTATGTTGCTTTTGTAAACACCGTATTATTACCTTGACTCAATCATACGATCATCACACTTGGGGCTGTGACCGTAAACACAACTTCTTTATAGTAGGTGCAGTTTGCGTGCAGGTTCTCTCCTTCAGATGACTATACGAGTGGTAATGTTAGGAGACGCGTCACAGTGACACGTCAGTAGTTACTATTTAACAAGGCTTCAATATCGTTGTTGTTGTTGCCAGTTGATGCAGGAACCAGAAGTGTTTTAAGAATTAACACTTAACATCAAGTTAGACTTCTTCTTGTATAGTAGGTGCAGTTTGCATGAAGAAGTTAGACTTGAAGCATGACTGGGAGGGCTGGGTGTTGTGTTGACGGCGTCAGCTGACCGTCGCTCTTGACTATAGCCAAGACTCACGTTTTCTATGGATGATGGTCCGGGTAGTGCGAATTATATGAATAGGTCTGATTTTATCGAATATTTTGGTTAACTGGATATATTTAGCTAATGCTTTAACTACTTGATATTTTATAAGTGGTGAGAGATCTCCTACCTCACCACTTGGTATTTTATAAGTGGTGAGAGATCTCCTAACCCTGTTATATGCTCGATGTTAAAAGGCTCCATGATGTATGAAGCAGTGACGGAGGTAATGTTCAACTGTCTCTGGATCATGGCAGTGGATGCATAGTTCAGTTATGTTCTTGTTGTTTTAGATTCAGCTACTGAGAACTAAAAGTTGCAAGTAGCACGGGCTATGGTGAGCCCGGAAGTTCAGTTATGCCTGTCTTGTATTTATAGCTGCTAGTTTGGTGTAACCCAGCCTCAGTCTGGTCATTGTTATATCGATTTCTCTGTTTCCATGTTTCTCATGTGCAGTAACGAACCTGCAGGGAGACCACGACCCCTAGTTCAACCTTAGCGAAAAGTGGACAACACACAACACAATATTTTTCCAGATTCATTTCGGGTAAGGACGGCTCTTTGCTCTTTAACCATTCTTTATGTATTCTAGTATTCTCCTATTTATTCCATATACTACACATTTCCTTGCCAGCCTTTCATGGGGTATCTTATCAAAAGCTTCAGCAAACTACAGCATCTTTAACTCCTTTGTCTCAATAGCTGCATACCGTTTCCAAAAATGTGAGCAGGTTTGTAAGACAACGTCTGTTTTTAACTAATCCATGTTGCGTTGATTTTACTAGTTTTAAATTACGATTTTTCAATTGCGATTAGTCAGACTTTGCCCAAATCTCCCTGCAGTTTTCAAAATACGACGCCTATCGGGAAAATGACTCTTGAGCGTTAGTTTTAAGCCGATTTCTGGCTCACTGCACATTCCCTGTCGCCCAAGAAATGGGCTACAGGGCACTACAAACCTTATAGATTTGGTTTGTAATTTGGTACTTGATAACTCACTTTCTCGAGGGATAACCGTACAAAACTAACGCATTTTAATTATCTCGTCCATGACAATAGGATCCTATCTAAAGACACTCACTTCAACTTGTCAACCTAACAAAGTCCAACTGAAGTTGAGTGCCCACTACTCCACATGAATGAAGAGAAGCGCTGTCATAGCAGCCAGCGTCGCTAACGTTGACCAACATAACAAGATGTTAATACAGCTTCACGTTAGTGTAAACACAGACGCTCACAATAGCACGAATCTATCCCGACATGGCCGGAATTTATCACGTATTTACGCGTCCTCTTAGCAAAACTGTTCATCTTTCCACAATGTTGGCGGCTTTGTTTACATTCATCAAACAGTTTATGAGAACCGAAGCGGTATGAGGTTGTTTGTAACAAAAATAACCCTGGGATATGAAGTTGCAAAGCTCGTAAACTGTTAAATAAATGTCAACAAAGCCGCCATGATTAAGGAAAATGCACAGGTTTCGTAAATGATTATGTATGTTTACGCGTCCAGGTGAAGCCCTGCTTGGTGTGTAACCAGAGAACACTGCCAACGCCGCCTCCAGCACAACCTGTTTTCCTTCACGGGGGGTTTCCTAGGCAATATCAATTAGTAGGAACAAAGAGCAGGCAGCTTGGCTCAGTGCTGGGGTGGAGGTAGCAATTGAAGATATAGCTTGAGAACCACACCAGGTGTCTTGTTACTAACGCTGCGATTAATAAATCCAAGTGTCCGATTTGCCTTATTACGAACATTTATGCATTGATCCTTTTGTTTTAAATTCTTACTAATCATAACTCCCAGATCCCTTTCGCAATCCGACTTCGCAATCACAACACCATCTAGCTCGTATCTTGTAACTCTATCATCATTACCTAACCTCAGAACTTTACATTTATCAGCATTAAACTGCATCTGCCAATCCTTTGACCATTTCAAAACCCTATCTAGATCAACTTGAAGTGATAGTGAGTCCTCCTCCGAATTAATTTCCCTACCGATTTTCGTATCATCGGCAAATTTGCAAATGTTGCTACTCAAACCTGAATCTAAATCATTTATATATATTATAAACAACAGAGGTCCCAGGACAGAGCCTTGAGGCACTCCACTTACAACATTTTCCCACTCTGACTTGATTCCATTTATACTAACTCTCTGTTTCCTTTGGTATAGCCATGCCCTAATCCAGCTTAATATAGCACCCCCAATACCATGAGACTCTATTTTTTTAATCAGTCTTTCATGTGGCACTGTATCAAAAGCTTTGCTAAAGTCAAGGTATACAACATCGCAATCCTTACCACTATCAACTGCCTCAACAATGCTAGAATAAAAAGATAACAAATTTGTTAAACATGAACGGCCATTTATAAAACCATGTTGCGACTCAATTATTAATTTATGTTTTTCAAGATGAAGACGAATTTTATTTGCTATTATAGATTCGAGTAACTTTCCCACAATAGACGTTAGGCTAATTGGTCGATAGTTAGACGCAAGTGATCTATCTCCTTTCTTAAAAACTGGTATCACATTAGCAACTTTCCAAAACTCTGGCACTCTGCCTGACTCTATTGATTTATTAAATATGGTTGACAGTGGGTCACAAAGCTCCTCTTTGCATTCTTTAAGCACCCTAGCAAACACTTCATCCGGCCCTGGGGATTTGTTTGGTTTGAGTTTTACTATTTGTTTAAGAACATCCTCCCTGGTAACTGCTAAACTCGTCAACCTGTCCTCGTCCCCACCCACATAGACTTGTTCGGCTGAAGGCATATTGTTAAGTTCCTCTTTAGTAAATACAGATACAAAATATTTATTAAAAATACTACTCATCTCTTCATCACTATCTGTTATTTGACCTGTCTCAGTTTTTAATGGACCTATCCTTTCCCTAGTCTTAGTACGATATAACTGAAAAAACCCTTTAGGATTTGTCTTTGCTTGCCCTGCTATGCGAACTTCATAGTTTCTTTTTGCTTTCCTTATCTCTTTTTTAACATTTCTAACCAGTTGTACGAATTCCTGTTCTAAAGTGACCTCCCCATTTTTAATCCTTTTGTACCAAGCTCTCTTTTTACCTATAAGGTTCTTCAAATTCTTTGTTATCCACTTTGGGTCATTAGTATACGATCTATTCAATTTGTATGGTATACTACGTTCCTGTGCTTTGTTTAGAATATTCTTAATAAGTTATATATTGAATCCACATCGAAATCCCCATTTAAGTCACCTATCGCTGGGTTCATGTCTCGCTCCAAGACCGGCCCACACCCCATACCCAAGCCTTTCCAATCAATTTGACCCAAAAAATTTCTTAGGCTATTAAAATCAGCTTTTCGAAAATCTGGCACTTTAACAGAATTTTCTCCTACTGGTCTATTCCATTCTATGCTAAATCTGATTTCTTTGTGATCACTGCTCCCTAGCTCACTCCCTATTTCGATGTCATTAATTTGCGTTTCCCTGTTAGTTAACACTAAATCTAAAATATTATTTTCCCGTGTTGGTTCCTTAATGTGTTGCGTAAGAAAGCAATCGTCAATTAATTCTAGAAAATCTTCTGCTTCACTATTCCCTGTTTTGTTCAACCAGTTTATTCCGCTAAAATTAAAGTCACCCATGACATAAATACTGTTAGATCTAGATGCTCTAGATATTTCATTTACATCTATAATATCTCTCAGTTGTATTACCATCGTGTTCCACGGGTCAGCGGGTTATAAAATATTTATTTATGAGGAGACTCCAAACACAGCTGATAATTTAAATTATTAAACTTGTTCTGACGTTCAAATCTTTTCTTGATGGAGGTGGGTTTTATATCTTAGTCTTCAGTGCATTCCGCTTGTTTACCACCCTTATTGTTTGCCACCCTTATTGTTTACCACCCTTATTGTTTACCACCCTTATTGTTTACCACCCTTATTGTTTACCACCCTTATTGTTTACCACCCTTATTGTTTACCACCCTTATTGTTTACCACCCTTATTGTTTACCACCCTTATTGTTTACCACCCTTATTGTTTACCACCCTTATTGTTTACCACCCTTATTGTTTACCACCCTTATTGTTTACCACCCTTATTGTTTACCACCCTTATTGTTTACCACCCTTATTGTTTACCACCCTTATTGTTTACCACCCTTATTGTTTACCACCCTTATTGTTTGCCACCCTTATTGTTTGCCACCCTTATTGTTTACCACCCTTATTGTTTACCACCCTTATTGTTTACCACCCTTATTGTTTACCACCCTTATTGTTTACCACCCTTATTGTTTACCACCCTTATTGTTTGTTTGCCACCACCCTTATTGTTTTATTGTTTACCACCACCCTTATTGTTTGCCACCCTTATTGTTTACCACCCTTATTGTTTGCCACCACCCTTATTGTTTACCACCCTTATTGTTTACCACCCTTATTGTTTACCACCCTTATTGTTTTATTGTTTACCACCCTTACCACCCTTATTGTTTACCACCCTTATTGTTTACCACCCTTATTGTTTACCACCCTTATTGTTTACCACCCTTATTGTTTACCACCCTTATTGTTTACCACCCTTATTGTTTACCACCCTTATTGTTTACCACCCTTATTGTTTACCACCCTTATTGGATACGAGTAATTCGTTACATTCCTTCGGCTTATTTGCGTTTCCAGCAAATGTCCAATGTCCTCTTGTCTTACTGTATCTCAATGTGAAGAAGCTATCCTTGTCCAATCTTATATATTCCCCGTAGTATCTTGTATGTTGTGATCATATCCCTCAGTTCTTTCTATCTTCTAAGGTTGTGAGATTTAGTTCCATTAGCCTATTATGGTAGCTTAACTCTCTTATCTCTGACAAGAATCTTTGTCCTGAACAGAGATTATCTTTAAGTTATAACTTTATTTTATTATAAATCTGGTTTAAAAAATAAAAAAGTATATGCTGAATGCGTCTTCTTTGAAGAATTTGGTTTTCTGTAAAC